CATGGGGCATGGGCAGTTTTCCCCCCCCCCCTCCCCGAAACATTATCCCGGGATGAACCATTTTAGTTCAGAACAAGGGGCATAGGCAGTGTCCCTGTCATCCATTTTCCACCCCCCCCCAAATCCTTGTCCCGGGACTCAGGAGGGGAGCCATTTCTAGCTAGACCAAGGGGCAGAGGCAGCATCCTGCCCCTCTTCAGGAACCCTTCTCTTTGGAGCCGTTCTCTGGGGGGAACCATTAAGTGGACAGACCTGGGGGACCCCACCTTTCCTGGTGAGCTGACACAGGGCAGGGAGCCATTATCTGATGGACAGAGACTGCTAGGATGCCTGGGTGCTGTCCTTGGCTGCCTTCCTTGAGGGGGCGGAGCTTAGCTCAGAGCCCCACCCCTTGCTGACTCATCCACTCTCATATCCCAGTGACTGTGGCCGACTACATCTCCCGGGCAGAGTCCCAGAGCCGCCAGCGTCCCCCTCAGAAGGAGCCGCGGGAGCCCTCTGCTGAGGGCTCCACCCCCCAACAAAAGGTAGCCAATCATGGCGGGGGTGGGGTTTCTGGCCTGGGGGCAGGGCCAGAACCCTAGGCTGCGCCCCCCACCCCCCTGTAGCCCAAAAGGCAGCCAATTATACGCTGGGGGGGGGGCCAGAGCTGGCAAGGAACAAATTGGGATGGGGGCACGACTTGGGGTTCAGGGGGTGGGGCCCAGGGAGCACGGCTTATGGCTTCAGCTATTGGTGTGGGAGGAACCCGAGGCAAAAGGAAGCCAATCCTATGCTGGGGCGGGGCTTGTGGGTCTATGGGCGTGGCTTTGTGGGGGCTACTGACTCATCCCCCTCTCCTTCTCCCCAGACGGACACCATTGCTGCCACTGCCAAAGTGGCCAATGGCCCCTCGGAGAATGGGGACCTGGCTGAGCTCCCTGCCCCCCCGGAGGTTGCCGCCCTTGTCAATGGGGTCTCCTAAATCTGGCCCTGTCCCCCCTTTGTTAATTAACGACACCCCCCCTTAATTAACCCCCTGCTTGCATCTGGAGCCAGCCACCTCCACCCATCTCTCTCGCTCGTGCCCCACCCCACGCCGCCGCGCTCGCGACTCTACCTGCTGCCGCTTGCCAAAGAGAGGGAATGCTGGTCAGGGCCCGCTCCACCATTAGGGCCTAATGAGGCGGCTTCTTCCCTTGATTCCCTGGGGTGGTGAGTGGGGGGTAAGAGATCTTCCCTGCCCTACCGTTTGGGGGAGGGGGGCAGCTGTAATTAATACCCCCCTCGTTAATTAACCCTGGGAAGCCCCACTGAGACTTTTTTTGTGCCTTCTGAGATCTGCCCGGAGCGAGAAAAGTCCCCACCCGCAGGTCTTCTATGCCCTGCCCCTTTTATTCCACCCCCCACTGTCCCCTCCCTTTAAAACAGGCCCAGAATGGCCCGTTTTCAACCCAAACATCTCCCCAGTCTTTATGTTTTTGGAAGCGTTGAAGGAGCCACAGTCTTTTTTCTTCTTGGTACCCCCCCATGTGGGGCCCTCAGTTGAGTTCTTTTCTGGGGGCGAGGGGGGAATAACCCTAGGAGGTGGATGGATTTTTCTGTTGCTCCTTTTCTGACACTGTGGAAGGGGGCAGG